AATGGTAACTTTTTCATCAGATATTTGACAAAAGGATGTTCGGTTGTACAAAAAAAAATGTCAGAAAAGGTCGAGTTTTGATGACAATTAGACGAAGGTACTGTCAGAAGCCACTGGCAAATTATTCATAAACAAATTTTGCATGTTCCACAGATATCCAGACGATTTCTGTCAGATGACTATTGACATTTTTACTGTGCTAGCAGAGCTTACAATCAAAACCCAAAGTCTATTTTATCCTCTCTGGACTCATCGTTTCTTGGGAAACGGCAAACGCGATTCTTTTTCGCGGCTTTTACTCGGCCTCAGATTTAGCCCTGCAGCAGTAGCAGCAGCCGCCCGAGGACGGCTATCCCTCTCTGGTGGAGATTACTTTTGTGCCCCGCAGTTTTGCATCATCGGCGCGACAAGTCGCTCAGCCCATCCATCAGGCGGGACCGGGCGGGACCGCCGGCGCGTGGTATTTCATTCCCCCTGACTCCTCCGGCCGGCTGGCCGACCCGGGGACGGGAAGTCGTAATCCAGCGCCTGCCAATACGTCAGGAGTGGAAGGGGCCCAGGGCTGCCGCTGTCCTGGAGTCTGCGCTCCCCGATCCAGTTGCCAACGGGCCAAACGCGGTGTATGTAAAGAGGGCGACTTGAGAATAACGAATTCGACAGCAATCTCATGTTATTTGTCCGTGTCGCTTGTGCCACTGCCTCGTGTAGAGTAACAGCGGCAACAGAAAAGTAGCACGCTCAAAGCAAAAGCATCACTGAGAAAAAGATCCAAAGGGTTTCTATCATTATCGACTTCACACAGAGACTCACTTTTTCGGTCGCCGATCATCAAAAGCTTTTGTGACGGCGCAAGGGGTAGGGTAGGGGGAAGGGGCGTAAAGGATGCGATATCGATACTGGCGCTGCTGTGTGAGTGGCTCCACAATGGCGCGGCTCCGCAGCGGCTGGAGAGACAGAGCCAGCCGGCCACTCTGTTGTTGTGCCGGGTCACGCCGGACTCCACACGAGACGCCCCGCCTCCCATTCCATTTTTCATTCCCCGGTGGGAGGAAGGGGGCGTCGTCCAGTGGACGCCGTCCACCGAGGCTTCCACCCTTTATGCATGTATGAGATATTATAATGACGATCCTGTCGCTCTCGGCATACGGAGAAAAAAAAATTCCTGACTGAGAGCACTATACGTTTAGTTTCCAGATCGAAACTTTTCAGTTGCACTACACCGTCCATAGCCCTGGAAGCTGCACGCAGTCCACCACAAGAAAATAAACTATACAGCACAAAAAACTCAATGGGGGGACAATACCTCATTTTGAGCTGTGACAAAGTCCGTAGCAATAGTCAAAGGGTTAAGTGCCTGGAAAAATTTTTTTTTCTCAGTGTTAGAGGAATGCATCTGTCGTCCGCGGCGCGTCGGGACTTCTTGACATACCCCAAAAAGTACGCATGTC